TGCTCCGCCTGCCGGCGCGGCAGCGCGCGGTGCTTCAAGCCGGCGTGCGCGAGGCCTCCCTCCCCCACTCCTGACTCGGATGCTTGGAAATTGGCACCAACACCAAGACAGAGGGTTGCCTCCACAGGGGGAAGGTGATCCTAGATGTTCGGTGTCGGTGGTAATAGTTCGGCCACCTTGGGAGCCAGGATTTTACCACCATCACCGAGATCGGGATCTTCTTCCCCCGGTGGAGGCACACCGCCGAAATTGGTGTTGGTGTCAAGCTCTAGGCCTGCGACTGACGCGCCTGCCTCAGGATGGGGAAAAAACACACACACACACACACACACAGACACAATGAATCGTCGACTCCCAGGAAAATATTGGAAAATATGGGACGTGGGGGGGAAGACAAAAACCCAGACAAAAAATATGAAAATCTGGCGGGTCCTGTTGTTTGCGTCTATTTCTTTGTGTGTCCCAGGGCCCCTTCGCTTTCCCCCGCGTGAAAAACACACTTGGCAAGGGCCCGTTCCACCTTTTCCGATGGCTGTTTTTTTGGCCACAGCGTTCTGCCTTGCGGGAAGAGGGGTGGGGAGAGTGGGGACAAGGAGGAGGAGCGATGATGATGCAGGAGGGGGAGAGGGGGGGAGGATCTGACGACGGGCACTCGCCAGGGCCGCCGCGGAGGAGCGGGCGTGCGCGGAGGGGCGGCATGCCGCGGCCCCGCCACGCCCGAGGCACGGGCCTCTCCTCTCGCCTCGGGCCGTCTCGGGGGGACCCGTCGGCGCCCGTGCCGTGGCCTCCGCCAGCTTTGAAGATGCGGGTGCCTTTATGCTTGCCGGTATTTGTCACAGCCGTCCCACAAATCCCTGCAAGGCTGAGCACCAGTGTTTTTTTGTTGCTGTCTCGGCAGCTGCGGGGCCGCACAATGCTCACCATCAGAGGTCACAAAGTCGGGGCGGTGGAATGACAAGTGCCGTTGACGATTTCAAACGTCCCACGTGCAAGTAGCTTGTATGGCACGCCATCTCTGTGGCAAAGAAGACGCCCCACGACCCCCCAAGAATGCGACAAGGGCGGGGCGAAGTGAGGGCGCAGGAGGAGGAGGAGGAGGAGGAGGAGGAGGAGGAGGAGGAGGAGGAGGAGGAGGAGGAGGAGGGGGTAGGGGGGAGTGGGGAGTGGGAGGGGAGGGGGAGGGGGAGGAGGAGGAGAGGAGGAGGAGGCGTAGGAGGAGGAGGAGGAGGAGGAGGAGGAGGAGGAGAGGAGGAGGAGGAGAGGAGAGGAGGAGGAGGAGGAGGAGGAGGAGGAGGAGGAGAAAAGGAGGGCCACGAGGAGGCAGCCGCCACACCCTCGAGGAGCTTCCGGGGGACCGCGCGTGCTCCGCCTGCCGGCGCGGCAGCGCGCGGTGCTCCAAGCCGGCGTGCGCGAGGCCTCCCTCCCCCACTCCTGACTCGGATGCTTGGAAATTGGCACCAACACCAAGACAGAGGGTTGCCTCCACAGGGGGAAGGTGATCCTAGATGTTCGGTGTCGGTGGTAATAGTTCGGCCACCTTGGGAGCCAGGATTTTACCACCATCACCGAGATCGGGATCTTCTTCCCCCGGTGGAGGCACACCGCCGAAATTGGTGTTGGTGTCAAGCTCTAGGCCTGCGACTGACGCGCCTGCCTCAGGATGGGGAAAAAACACACACAGACACAATGAATCGTCGACTCCCAGGAAAATATTGGAAAATATGGGACGTGGGGGGGAAGACAAAAACCCAGACAAAAAATATGAAAATCTGGCGGGTCCTGTTGTTTGCGTCTATTTCTTTGTGTGTCCCAGGGCCCCTTCGCTTTCCCCCGCGTGAAAAAAAACACACTTGGCAAGGGCCCGTTCCACCTTTTCCGATGGCTGTTTTTTTGGCCACAGCGTTCTGCCTTGCGGGAAGAGGGGTGGGGAGAGTGGGGACAAGGAGGAGGAGCGATGATGATGCAGGAGGGGGAGAGGGGGGGAGGATCTGACGACGGGCACTCGCCAGGGCCGCCGCGGAGGAGCGGGCGTGCGCGGAGGGGCGGCATGCCGCGGCCCCGCCACGCCCGAGGCACGGGCCTCTCCTCTCGCCTCGGGCCGTCTCGGGGGGACCCGTCGGCGCCCGTGCCGTGGCCTCCGCCAGCAGCGCGGGAGGGCTTCCGCTCGGGCGCGGTGCGGCTCCGTGGGCACGCTTCCGTCGCTTGCCCTGGCCTCGGCCCTCTGGGCAGCTCGCCTGCTTCTGGACGCTCGAAAGGGGTACGGAAAGAATGGGTACGATGCCCAGCAGCAGTTCGCTGTTCATTTTGAGCAGGACTCGCTGTCTGCGCCGCCGCGGCCTGTGTCCATTTGAGACAGAAGGCCGCCCGCCCAGCAGCAGCCGCTTTTGGTTTGGGACAGCATTTGCTGATGGGCATCGTACCCATCCTTTCCGTGCCCATTTCGGGTGTCCAAACTGATGCCCAGCAGCTAGTAGCTCCGCCGCCTCGGCCGCCGCCCAGCTGCGCACGGGCGACCAGGGGTCTCGCGTCGGTGCTCTGCGCCCGTGCTTTTGGAGTTTGACCGTGCGCTGCTCCCCTGGTCCCTAGTCGGCGCTGCTGCGCTGCGCGTGCGAGCTGGAGCTTCTCGCGTCGCGAGTTGGGGGGGGGAGAGGACGCGATTTCAGGCTCCCTTTGCCATTTCCAAGAAAAAACTATGGCTCCAAGACGCCAAAGGACGCCCCAGGGGGCGCCCGAGGCGTCAAAAAGGTCCCAAGAGGCCGCGGTCCCCAAGAGGCCCCCAAAGTCCCTGAAGAAGCCTCCAAGAACCCCCCAAGAGGCCCTCAGTATACGCCCAAGTCGCCCCCACGAGTCTCCCGAGCGGCCCCCGTAGAGATTCGACGAACAAAAAACGACGCAAACAGAAACTTTTGGAGCTCCGCGCGGATTTCTTGGATCGGCGTTGGGCCACCCTCCCTGACGCGCGGAGCGCTCCAGGGGCGGCGCAGGAGGCGCCGCCTAATTAGGGTCCCAGCGCAGATCCAAGAGACCCGCGCGGAGCTCCAAAAGTTTATGCTTATGCCGTTTGTTTTATCGTGCTCTAGAGATTGCATGATATTGTAGTGGCCTCCGGCGAGTGCCGCCGATCCGGGGTGCTACCGATTCTGCTTGCAACGGAACGGATGACCTCTTATGTTATATATATATATATATATATAAAAAGAAGTAGAGCGCTCGCTCGATACATCCTCATCAGATAGAGAGGTCGAACTCGCTAGTTTATGTTTATGCCGTTTCACCGTGCTCTAGAGACTGCATGATGTTTCTTGTGCGCTTCAGGTCGAAGACGCTCGCCGTCGGAGCCCGATGTCCAGGGCGCCAGGGCCAGGCGGTCGCGGGGCCTCCCCAGCCCTGCACCCTGCTCGTGCTGATTTTCCCTCTCCCCCCCCCCTCTCGCCTCCCCATCCCCCTCCTCTCCACCTCCTCTCGTTCTGCTTTCCCCTCCCCCCCTCCTCTCGCCTTCCCTCCCCCTTTTTCTCCCCCCCCTCTCGTGCTGCCTTTCCCCTCCCCCCTCTCGCTCTCGTCCCGTGCGCTGGGTCACAGGCGGATGCCAGGGATCTCTGCCGGGGTGGCCTCGTTCTCCTTCCGCGCCCGTCCGGGAGCCTGTCCCGTGCCACCTCGTCGTGCCCCGTCGTGCCCCGCCCGCGCCGGCGCGGTGGCTCCCCAGGGCCTGCGGTGAGCCCCCTCGCGGTGGTCTCGGGGTTTGTCCCAGCTTCGGCTGGCAGCTGCCCGAGCAGCCACGAGCGCAAGAGGCCCAGCTCGGAGACGTCGAAGTCCTTGAGCACCTGGACATCGTCTAGACAACCCCTATCCGCACCGGCGTGGCCCGCCGTGAGCATCCACGCGGGCTCTCGGTCACCCTCCCTGTAGGTGCATATTTTGAGAGTGCGTGCGGCCCGAGGGTTTCGTCGAGGGCCAGCAGCTGGCCTGCCCCCGCCTCGGGCTCGAGCGGAGCTCGAGGCACGGCGCGCCGCCGTGCCGCGTTTTTGTGCGCCTGCTCCGTGCCTCCTCGTCGTGCTCCTCACCCGCCCCTCTCTCTGCCCTGGTTTCTCCGTCCTTCTCCCTCCCGCCTTCTTCCTCTCTCGCCCTCGTGCTCTCCTTCGTTTCCTGCTGCCTTCTCCTCCCTCCACCCTCCTCCGTCTCCCTCCTCCCTGTTCTCACCCCCACTCCTTCTTTCATCCCTCCTCCTCCTCCCTCCTTCCTGCTCACTTCCTTTCTGGAGTTTCCATTTGTTGCGAACGTGTGGCTCGAAGATGGCCTCGGAGGCCCAACTGGCTCCGAAGACAGTTGCAATCTTGCCCAAGGATGGCCCATGACTGCCGCGAGCACCAAGCCTCAATGCGACTTCAGGCGCCAACGCGTGGGCTTCCAAGCCAAGGGCCCGATCGTCCAGGCACGGCCCCTCTGACGCGCTATACGCTTGGCCTCATGGCAAGTCGAGCATGCGCGCGAGCGAAGCGCGCGCGATGGTTCTGGCACACCCCATAAAGATATGCACATACCACATAAGATAACGTGTCTGCAGACGTATTGCGCCCGCCGACCTGGGCTTCACGCTGGCTCGGCTCGGCGCAGCCCGCGTCGGTGCAGCACGCACGCGCTGGGCGAATTAGCTCGAGAGCGTATCCGAGCAGGCTCTGGTTACCCGCCGGTTGGGTTCTTCGGCGCGTCGGGAGGGACGTGTGGCTTGGCATGTGTCTGTGTGTGTGTTCTGTCCGCGTGTGTGTGTGTGTGTGTGTGTGTGTCTGTGTGTCTGTGTGTCTGTCTGTCTGTCTGTCTGTCTGTCTGTCTGTCTGTCTGTCCGTCCGTCCGTCTGTCTGTTTGTCTGCCTGTCTGCCTGCCTGCCTGCCTGCCTTTCTGTCTGTCTGCCTGTCTGCCTGCCTGTCTGTCTAATTGCCTGTGTGCCTGTCTGCCTGTCTGTCTGCCTGTCTGTCTGTCTGTCTGTCTGTTCGCGCGTGTCTCAGGTGCGCAGACCCGCGTGGCTGCGTTCGGCCAAGGAGAAGGCCGCCAAGGAGAAGGCGCTCGGCGGAGGCAACGTCACGTTTGCGCTCTGAGAGGTCGCCCCATCCGCCCTCCCTCCCTCCCTTATCCTTTTCCTCCCTCTCGCCTCCCTCCCTCCCTCCCTCTGTCCTCCTCACTTCCTCCTCCTCCCTCCCCCGGCGCCCTCCCCATCCTCTCAGCATCCTTAGACCTGTCCCCGTCCCCACTGGGAAGGCCTTGGCCCCGCTGCCCGACTTTCCTTCCGGGCTGGGACAGCTGCCCTCTCCGGCCAGGTGCCGCGGCACCCGTGCCCGTCTGGGGGGGGGGGGGCTCTGGGGTGCTACGGCAGGGGGAAACCATGTGTGGACACTCCCGCGCTCCCCCAAACTCAGAGTTGGCATGCGCGGGGGAGACTGCGGTCGAAGTGCAGCTCATCAGAACCGCCGCCCACTTTGAACGCTGGGGGGAGGGGGAGGCGTTGACCGGTGAATGTGGCATGCGTGTTCGCTGTTTTTTCCAAGGCCTGTAATTAGGGTGCCCTGGCCCAGTGGGGGCGGTGATAGAGACAACGACGCCGATCCTCGCCCCTCGCCCCTTCTCCGAGAGTTCTGCAGTCCAGGTGCCCCGCGGGGTCCGACGGCCCATGCCCGTGAGACGGGCGTGTGGCGGGTCCGGCAGGGAGTTTGCGGCTGGGGTTGCTTCGCGCCGCCGTGAGGAAGAGGAGGTCCTGAGTCCTGAGCCGACGAAGTAGGAATGACACTCGTCGGACGGAGAGCGTTCTGGAACGCTCTCAGAGCGTTCCGGAACGCTCTGAGAAGGCCGCGGCGTCCGAGACATCCTCCAGATCCGCCGGATCTCAGGGAGTCTCGATTTATCCTCACCTCAATGTACCTTCGTCCTGGCTTGGCCTTCGAGTCCTGAGCCGACGAAGAAAGAATGGCACTCACATGATGTGTCGCCCTGCTCCCTGGCGCGCGCGGAGAGCGTGCCAGGAGAGCGGCGCCACAGGCGTCGATCCTGGCGGGTCCAGCGCCAATCCCAGAGCTCAGCGCGGAACTCGCAGTGTCTGCATATTTATGCAGATGTGTCCTCTGCTGCGGAAGGAAAGGGCTCCTCATCCTTGTCACCGCTTCTCAGAGGCGCAGAAGATATCCCATGCTGATGCCCTTGCCTCGTTTTCCCATGTGTGGGGCCTCCCGGGAAGCTCCCGTCGCCACCGCTGGACTGTCGGGCCGAACGAAAGGGGGGGGATAGGGAAAGGGGGGGGTACGAAATCTGCGGCACGGAGCTGGTTTCGGCCCCACCGCCAGGCCCATTCCTCGATACGTGGGCGCCTCCCGGCGCCGGGAGGCGCCGGGAAAATCAGCTACGCGAGCTGATTCTCAAACCCTCCCTTTGCTCTCACCCCCTTTCGCCCGGCCCGAGATTGGCCTCGAAGCCTTGGTCGGAACGCACCGCCGGGGGAGGCCCGGGGAGCAGCAGCATCGGCACCCTGCTGGTTTTCCCCCAGCTCTCGGCCTCCCCAGGGCCTGGTCTGTGCCCCAGGGGCCAGCCGAGGGAGGCCAGGACGCCTAGCCTTGTGGAAGTCGATGAATGGAGAGGGGGCACGCTGCCAAATACCTCCCAGATGTCTAAAAACATGTTTCAAACATGTTTTTGAATATACGTAAGAGCGTGTTTGAAACGTTTTTAGAACATGCTTTTACTCATGTTAAGCACATGGTTCCTTCCATGGTCGGCCTGTTCGAGTGCCCCCTGTCAGGGCATCCGCAGAGGCAGCGTGAGGCCAGGACGCACAGCCGGTCGGGGGGCAGGCCGCGGGCCACGGGGTCCAGGGGCCGCTTCCCGTCGGGCGTGCCCCCGTCGCAGCAGTGGCGCGCGGCTCGTGGTCGCAGGAGGCCCAGATCTCAAGCAGTGGCGAAGCGTCCTGGCTCGCCTGTAGCCCTACCAAACAATGTTCTAGGGAGCTTGTGTGGTTTCCACGAGATGTTCTTAGAACATGTCTGGCGGAGCCTGCCTTGTTTTATCACATCGAGTTTCTTATCTAAGAACATCGTTTTTGTTCTTAGAACAGCTTTGGATTCTAAGAATATTTCGTGGTAGGGCTATAGGAATGCCAGGACGGTCGGTCCCTGCTCAGACATCCGTTTTGCACCGTCGAGCTTCTTTTGATCCTCGCCTGTTTCACACGCGTCTCGTATTTGAACTGCCTTTGCATCCATTCGCCATGCACCCCGTCGCGTTCCCGGATGGTGTTTTTTTGATTGCGCGCCAGGTTCTTTTCTCGCACATTTGGTTTGCGCTGACGCTTCATTCGGTTTACATTGTGTGTCACTTGAAGTGGTTCCCATTTGATCAGCACTGCGTTCTCACGTACCCCAATTCAAACAACCTTCGAACCAATATTGCTCTGTTTTTGAACCGCATGTTCCGCATGGTTTGTTATTGTAGTCTACATGCCGATGTTGTTCGCAGTCGTCCACTGGTCGATTTACATTCGTAGCGTTTGAATAGTACGTATTCCAGCTATTGTTCACGTTATACTCGCACTCGGCTCACAAAATATACTTGCGTCATTTAGGTGCTCTGCCTTTTGAGTGGTTACAGCATGTTTGATTCGCACATTGCTTAGATTTGATGCACATGCGTCGACAGCCGATGCATACTTTCTTTAGCATTGGGCTACTGCGATTGTGTCACTGCACACTTGTATTCTCTCCACACCTGGCTTGCAGTTGGCACGCAACAGACACAGTGTTCACATTCCAATGCTGTTCCTTTTGATTCAATAATGGCACCACTCATGATCTAATCCTGACGCGCAGCTGATTTGCACGCCCTCGGGACAGCATCGCGACACCCTCGGGACGCCGCCAGCCCGCCTTGGGGGGCACATCGGGACACAACTGTACACTGAGAAAAGCAGCGGGGAAGACACGTGGCACCATCAAACAGTCCGTCCGCACGGGGACAAGTCAACGCTCTGGTGCACCATCGGGGGGCACGGACGGGCTACCACCAACAAGCGTCGGTGCAAAAAAGGGGCACCACGGATTACCATCAGCCAACTATCGGGACAGCATCAGAAATTGATTTGGAGACTTTTAGGGCACCATCGGGACAACACCGACAAACCATCGCGACACCGTCGACGAGCCGTTGGGACACCATTCGGGTACCGTCGGCAATGGGACGCAGTCGGGGCATCCGGCGCAACCGCCTTCTAGCGCAAGAGGAGGACACTTCGGCACCACGGGCACGACCTCGAGCTCACGAAGCGTCACGCAAGGCACGGAGACGACGTTCCAAACCCTATGCGTACTCCAGAGTTCGTAGTAAAAGGGAGGGGGTCTGGACCCTCCAATACAAGCCATTTCAGACCTCCCCCGTGGGAGAACCCTCCAAAACATCGTCCCCAGACCCCCCAGGCCCTCCAAGATTGCCTGGAAGAGACCCCCCCCCGAAATGAGACCCCCCTCCCTTTATTACGAAATCTGGAGTATGCGTATCCTGGGGCTTGCGGCAAATACGCCAACGTGCCCAGTGAAGCACTCTGCGGGGCGGCCCGACCAGCACCGCCCAGAAGGCCGTGACGTGTGACACCTCTCGTCTCCGTTGCTTGTGCAGCTCTCGTGAGGACTCGTTTGGAGCACTTCGTGGGGGTGCCATAGGCTCCTGTTGTGAAGTGTTGTGGGTCCACTGAGGCCCTCTTGCGCCGTCTTGAGCTATGTTGAGGCCGTCGTGTCGTCTCCGTATCTTGTAAAGCTCTCCTGAGCATTAGTTTGGAACACTTCGTCGGGGTGCCATAGGCTCCTGTTGTGAAGTGTTGAGGGTCCACTGAGGCCCTCTTGCGCCGTCTTGAGCTGTGTTGAGGCCGTCGTGTCGTCTCCGTATCTTGTAAAGCTCTCCTGAGCATTAGTTTGGAGCACTTCGTGGGGGTGCCATCGGCTCCTGTTGTGAAGTGTTGAGGGTCCACTGAGGCCCTCTTGCGCCGTCTTGAGCTGTGTTGAGGCCGTGTGTCGTCTCCGTATCTGTAAAGCTCTCCTGAGCATTAGTTTGGAGCACTTCGGGGGTGCCATAGGCTCCTGTTGTGAAGTGTCGAGGGTCCACTGAGGCCCTCTTGCGCCGTCTTGAGCTGTGTTGAGGCCGTCGTGTCGTCTCCGTATCTTGTAAAGCTCTCCTGAGCATTAGTTTGGAGCACTTCGTCGGGGTGCCATAGGCTCCTGTTGTGAAGTGTTGTGGGTCCACTGAGGCCCTCTTGCGCTGTCTTGAGCTGTGTTGAGGCCGTCGTGTCGTCTCCGTATCTTGTGAAGCTCTCCTGAGGACTCGTTTGGAGCACTTCGTGGGGGTGCCATAGGCTTCTGTTGTGAAGCGTTGAGGGTCCACTGAGGCCCTCTTGCGCCGTCTTGGGCTGTGTTGAGGCCGTCGTGCCGTCTCCGTTGTTTGTGCAGCTCTCCTGAGGACTCGTTCGGAGCACTTCGTGGGGGTGTCACAGGCTCATGCTGTGAAGTGTTGAGGGTCCACTGAGGCCCTCTTGCGCCGTCTTGAGCTGTGTTGAGGCCGTCGTGCCGTCTCCGTTGCTTGTGCAGCTCTCCTGAGGACTCGTTTGGAGCACTTCGTGGGGGTGTCGTAGGCTCCTGTTGTGAAGTGTTGAGGGTCCACTGAGGCCCTCCTGCGCCGTCTTGAGCTGTGTTGAGGCCGTCGTGTCGACTCCGTATCTTGTGAAGCTCTCATGAGGACTCGTTTGGAACACTTCGTGGGGGTGCCATAGTTCCCTGTTGTGAAGTGTTGTGGGTCCACTGAGGCCCTCTTGCGCCGTCTAGAGCTGTGTTGAGGCCGTCGTGTCGTCTCCGTTGCTTGTGCAGCTCTCCTGAGGACTCGTTTGGAGCACTTCGTGGGGGTGTCATAGGCTCCTGTTGTGAAGTGTTGTGGGTCCACTGAGGCCCTCTTGCGCCGTCTTGAGCTGTGTTGAAGCCGTCGTGTCGTCTCCGTTGCTTGTGCAGCACTCATGAGGACTCGTTTGGAGCACTTCGTGGGGGTGTCATAGGCTCCTGTTGTGAAGTGTTTTGGGTCCACTGAGGCCCTCTTGCGCCGTCTTGAGCTGTGTTGAGGCCGTCGTGTCGTCTCCGTTGCTTGTGCAGCTCTCCTGAGGACTTGTTTGGAGCACTTCGTGGGGGTGTCATAGGCTCCTGTTGTGAAGTGTTGTGGGTCCACTGAGGCCCTCTTGCGCCGTCTTGAGCTGTGTTGAGGCCGTCGCGTCGTCTCCGTATCTCGTGCAGCTCTCAGGAGGACTAGTTTGGAGCGCTTCGTGGGGGTGCCATGGGCTCCTGTTGTGAAGTGTTGTGGGTCCACTGAGGCCCTCTTGCGCTGTCTTGAGCTGTGTTGAGGCCGTCGTGTCGTGTCCGTATCTTGTGCAGCTCTCATGAGCATTAGTTTGGAGCACTTCGTGGGGGGTGCCATAGGCTCCTGTTGTGAAGTGTTGAGGGTCCACTGAGGCCCTCTTGCGCCGTCTTGAGCTGTGTTGAGGCCGTCGTGCCGTCTCCGTTGCTTGCGCAGCTCTCCTGAGGACTCGTTTTGAGCACTTCGTGGGGGTGTCATAGGCTCCTGTTGTGAAGTGTTGTGTGTCCACTGAGGCCCTCTTGCGCCGTCTTGAGCTGTGTTGAGGCCGTCGTGTCGTCTCCGTATCTTGTGCAGCTCTCCTGAGGACTCGTTTGGAGCACTTCGTGGGGGTGTCATAGGCTCCTGTTGTGAAGTGTTGAGGGTCCACTGAGGCCCTCTTGCGCCGGCTTGAGCTGTGTTGAGGCCGTCGTGTCGTCTCCGTTGCTTTTGCAGCTATCATGAGGACTAGTTTGGAGCACTTCGTGGGGGTGCCATGGGCTCCTGTTGAGAAGTGTTGTGGGCCCATTGAGGCCCTCTTGCGCCGTCTTGAGCTGTGTTGAGGCCGTCGTGTCGTCTCCGTTTCTTGTGCAGCTCTCTTGAGGACTAGTTTGGAGCACTTCGTGAATGTGCCGCGGGCTCCTGTTGTGAAGTGTTGAGGGTCCACTGAGGCCCTCTTGCGTCGTCTTGAGCTGTGTTGAGGCCGTCGTGTCGTCTCCGTTGCTCGTGCAGCTCTCATGAGGACTAGTTTGGAGCACTCCGTGGGGGTGTCATGGGTTCCTGTTGTGAAGTGTTGAGGGTCCACTGAGGCCCTTTTGCGCCGTCTTGAGCTGTGTTGAGACCCTCGTGCCGTCTCCGTATCCTGTGCAGCTCTCATGAGCATTAATTTGGAGCACTTCGTGGGGGCGTCATAGGCTCATGTTGTGAAGTGTTGTGGGTCCATGTTGTGAAGTGTTGTCTCCGTATCTTGGGTCCATGAGGACTCGAGGCCCTCTTGCGCCGTCTTGAGCTGTGTTGAGGCCGTCGTGTCGTCTCCGTTGCTTGCGCAGCTCTCATGAGGACTCGTTTGGAGCACTTCGTGGGGGTGTCATAGGCTCCTGTTGTGAAGTGTTGTGGGTCCACTGCCTCTTGCGCCGTCTTGAGCTGTGTTGAGGCCGTCGTGTCGTCTCCGTTGCTTGCGCAGCTCTCCTGAGGACTCGTTTGGAGCACTTCGTGGGGGTGTCATCGGCTCCTGTTGTGAAGTGCTGAGGGTCCACTGAGGCCCTCTTGCGCCGTCTTGAGCTGTGTTGAGGCCGTCGTGTCGTCTCCGTTGCTTGTGCAGCTCTCGTGAGGACTCGTTTGGAGCACTTCGTGGGGGTGCCATAGGCTACTGTTGTGAAGTGTTGAGGGTCCACTGAGGCCCTCTTGCGCCGTCTTGAGCTGTGTTGAGGCCGTCGTGTCGTCTCCGTTGCTCGCAGCGCTCGCACGCAGGCAGCTTCTCGTTTGGCACTTCGTGGGGTGTCACAGGCTCCTGTTGTGAAGTGTTGAGGGTCCACTGAGGCCCTCTTGCGCCGTCTTGAGCTGTGTTGAGGCCGTCGTGTCGTCTCCGTTTCTTTTGCAGCTATCATGAGGACTAGTTTGGAGCACTTCGTGGGGGTGCCATGGGCTCCTGTTGAGAAGTGTTGTGGGTCCATTGAGGCCCTCTTGCGCCGTCTTGAGCTGTGGTGAGGCCGTCGTGTCGTCTCCGTTGCTTGTGCAGCTCTCATGAGGACTCGTTTGGGGCACTTCGTGGGGGTGTCATAGGCTCTTGTTGTGAAGTGTTGTGGGTCCATTGAGGCCCTCTTGCGCCGTCTTGAGCTGTGTTGAGGCCGTCGTGTCGTCTCCGTTGCTTGTGCAGCTCTCCTGAGGACTCGTTTGGAGCACTTCGTGGGGGTGTCATAGGCTCCTGCTGTGAAGTGTTGAGGGTCCACTGAGGCCCTCTTGCGCCGTCTTGAGCTGTGTTGAGGCCGTCGTGTCGCATCCGTTGCTCGTGCAGCTCTCCTGAGGACTAGTTTGGAGCACTTCGTGGGGGTGTCATAGGCTCCTGTTGTGAAGTGTTGTGGGTCCACTGAGGCCCTCTTGCGCAGTCTTGAGCTGTGTTGAGGCCGTCGTGTCGTCTCCGTTGCTCGTGCAGCTCTCATGGGGATTTGTATGGAGCACTCCGTGGGGGTGTCATAGGCTCCTGTTGCGAAGTGTTGAGGGTCCACTGAGGCCTTCTTGCACCGTCGTGAGCTGTGTTGAGGCCGTCGTGCCGTCTCCGTATCCTGTTCAGCTCTCATGAGCATAAGTTTGGAGCACTTCGTGGGGGTGTCATATGCTCCTGTTGTGAAGTGTTGAGGGTCCATTGAGGCCCTCTTGCGCCGTCTTGAGCTGTGTTGAGGCCGTCGTGTCGTCTCCGTTTCTGGTGCAGCCGT